CTCTGCCCTCCACTCCACGCTTCCATTCAGCCTACATCACCCCAGGCCCCGGCCCTCTCGTCCATTTCCACCGTGGGACCTCTCACCTCCTGATGCGACGGTCATTCCCTGATCTGCAAGCCCATGGATCATAGCACGTGGTTATCAAAGCAAGCTGGGAAGGAAGGCAATGAATCACCTTCTACTTGACCAGCGGCCCGGTTCTTATCTGCACCCATCAAATGCCATTGGGTTTGGCTCCCCCTCCACTGCCGTTCCATGGCAAGACCGAATGATCGCAGCCTCCTGTCGGGCCAGCTGCCAAACCGAAGGGAGCCCAGCGGGCCCGTGCCCGGCCCGGTGCTGCCAGCTGCCTGCTCCCTGCCACTGGGCCGCCCACGACCAACAGAGCGGCTGCCTCCCGGCGTACGTCCCTGGGCAAGTCTGCACAGGGCTTGCTCCTCCTCGTGCTAAGTCTCGCCGGCGTTCAGTTGCTCAACCGCTAGTAGCACAGCTGGGTTTAATATACTCCGCACTCACAACATCTTTACCAGATGTTCAACAGCTCTGCTACTGGTGGGGTTCTCACCCCTCTGACCCTTGAACTAGCTCCCCCTCCCCAGTGAAATCTGAAGTAGAAACACAGTTTTCCAGGAAGAAGTGTGGGGGGAAGATTTAAAGCAGCTCCACTGATGTTTTAAGGCTTCTATGGGCAGCCTGAGCTCATCTGCTTCAAGTATGAAGCAAAGACCTCAAACAACATGTCAGCCAACAGGCCAGTGGTGCTCACACGGCCGTCCGAGTGCCCAGCACGATGTTGCTGAGACATACCAGCTACAGTGTTTGAACTGTCCCTGAGGGAGGGAGGGAGGGAGGGAGGGAGGGGAGTGTTAAAGCATCCCAGCAAAAAGGAAGTACAGTTCTTTCATCTTAACTATCCAAAAGGGAATAAAGGCTGGTCGGACAGACTGTTGGGCTTGGATCCAACGCCGTCACGTTTGCAGCAGACCCAACGAGATCAACAGGACGTCACGATTTGCTTGTCCGACTGAGTCCAACGGGCCTGCTCGAACCATGCCTGAGTCTGGATCCAACCCGCAAGGGCTATTCGTGCAAGCAGTGACTCTGCTATGGGGTGAAATGCGGAACCCAGATGAACTCAGGCGTGCCTGATGAACACGGCCTGCAGGGGGCCAGCCTTTCAGAAACCCCCCAATGCACATTTACCCGCTCGGCCCCTCTTAACATCACGGTGCCCCGCAGAGGCGTTCCAAGCCAAGCGCTGCCTGATTCCCAGCTCCAAAGAGGGCTGGAGAGGTTCGAAACAAGGGAGGCATCTTGTGGCTTTCGGGACCTCGGCTCACAGGCTGGGAGACTTGGAAAAGGGGTACAGGACCTTGCCAGAATCTTAAAAACTGACCTTATCATAGCCAAGTGCCATGGTGTGTCCCTGACTGATGGGAATTCTGAATAGCAGTGAATCTATTTAATTCACTGAGGTTCTTCTACCGGAATCCGTATGGAACAAAGATATCCGTACTGGAACACGTGTCTATTATGCCTTTTTAAAAGCCTTTAATGTCTTTAATTCATATACTAAAAAGGGACTGCCACGACTTTGAGGGCGGAAAAGGTTCCTTCAGTGAGAAATTCAACACTGACCTTTTCACTCTTTTTCCCAAAGAAGGACGAGCCTGTTTTAGAAAAAGTCACCACGTCGCTTCCTCCATTCTTCCCAAATTGAATAATCATTGCTGAAGAAATGATTCTCCAACTTAATTAAGGTAGCTGAGAGCTGAAGTCCTCTCAGTGGCCAACACACTTAGTGGCCAATTCTCTCCGAAGCAGTCAATGCCTTCCTGTCCAGATTCCATACAATCGAGCTGCAGAAGACTCCATACGAGGAGGCATAATAGAATGCCATGCTCCAGGAACAGAGATGGAGAGGTGATCAATAACGGGGACTAAACAGTGAAAGAAGCCTCTCCCTTTTCATGCGTATGCTTTTTCTTTCCATGCCCTTTGCACAGACGCAAAGACACCCCAGGTCCATGGCACGGGAGAACTGCACCAAGCAGCAAACGAAGGAGCAGCTTGCAGCTCACAGAAATGGGCGCAGGGTTGGCATGCAGGCGATCCAATGCTGCCGCATTATTTGCTTATCGCTCATCTCCCGTGCCAGCAACATCAAGCCAGCCGCTTTTTCTCTCCCTGTTCCCATGGCTCTCCTCAGATCCACAACACCATTGTGAGGAATTTGAAGTGTGCTACTAATGCAAAAGAAAAAAGAAAAAAAACCCACTCCCGTTTGTTCGTGTTCTTTACCGATACACTGAAAGGCAGACATAGACTTGGCTTGCATTCTAGGATATTCTTCAGGTAGCAGTAAGAGGGCCAGAAAAAAGGCTGGGGGAAGGTCTTATGGGTATTCCCCAGATAGGGTCGATAAGCAGCACTGCAGGCTGAAGATAAAAGAACCCCCTGCCAAATGCTTTCATCAGTATCAGTATTTGTTGCAAGCTTTTCCACATCTGAAAACATGCAGATAAGACATACAACAGCAGGAAAACATTAAAACCACACGCTTGGGCTTACAAAGCCTCTTCTATGCATATACGCACATCAAACCCAGAATGGACAAGCCATCTGGGAAAACTAAGGTCACGTAGAAACTTTAAGCGGCGGCAGAGTGGTACAATCAGAAGCTTTTTATGAGATCTTCACAAAGGAGGCACTTCAGTGAACACAACAGTTTCCCTCGCTGCAGTGTCAGCTGCAATCAAGCACCACGGCCCTCGCTCAGAGAATGCACACGCAGCGACCCTCTCGACATGGCATCCTTTCTGCCTTTGCGGAAGACCTGCCAGCCGTTCAAGATCTTTCCAACTTTTCTGAGATAACCCCCATGACTGAGCGGGAGGGAAAACCAGTGTGAAAGCTGGCAGTCTACCCCAAGACGAACTTTATAGGTTGAGCAACTCCTTGCTCTTGAAAAAATCGCTTGGTTTGCTTGGTTTAAGCATTTTTGTTAACTCCCTTGAGTGCCTCTCAAGCTGAAAGAGAGGAAAGAAACCCCTTTAAATAAGAATACTAGCTCAGGCTCATGATTTATCAACTTCAGGCTTTGAGCCAGAGGGCCAGCTTTGGCACGCGCAGCCCCTCTGAGCAGTGGAAGCCACTGTCACAGGATCCAAGCACAGCCACCTCCCAAAAGCTAGGCTCAAGGCAGGTCGCCACCATTATTATGAGGAGCTCCGCTCGCAGCTGCATTAACTGCCTTGGGTTCCTCTCAAAAGGAAGAAAAAGTGAGGCGTAGACTCAACGTACTTAGTATGACAAAGAGCAAAATACTTGGCAAAGGGTTGCCTGTTTGTGTATCTACACATTCCACCTTTTCTTTCTCAATTTTTTCTAGAATGTTGCTCCTTCTTTCTTGAGTTTATTTTATGCTCAGACTGCCAGCAATTATCTGAAAATTGCTGCTATCTAAGGCGGAAGGATATCTCTGTATTGGGCAACATTGGCAATAGGAAGTTTTGGTTTTCCGATCTATTTTTTTAGTTTTTTTTTACTTTGGAGGGGCAGCCGTGTAGCTTGTTCATTCACATCTTTGCCCCTCGGCTCAGCCTTAATGCCCAAGGAGCTTCTTGTCTGCAAACTGTCATAGGCTCCAAAAGTGACTTGCGTTCAGGCCAGCTTCAGAGAGAGCTGAAACCTTCGCATGTCGAAAACCAAGTCCTGTTCTTTGCAGGCACGGGCTGAACGCTGACCGACCCGACCGACCCTTTCCCTTTACTGATTTCAGTGCTGCCGAAGGCCGTCCTGCCCTCTCCCTGCTCCAAGTCTGCCACAGCTTTCCTCGACTCGCCGATCATTACTGCCGCCAAAGGGGCATTTTATCTCTCGCAGGTGCAGCTGCATTGTGGCAACCTGCTGAGCTTATGGCCTACACATTCATTCTGTGTTAAGCCTAAGGCAGTGGGGCATCCCTCCCTCCCTCCCTCCCTCTCTCTCTCACACACACCCCCCCTGTCCAAGGCGACCAGGCCCAGAATTTCCATTCTCAATTCCTTTTTCGGGGTTCATGTGACATCTACAGTTCGCCTTTCCCTTCAGCCCTCTAAGAACAATCCTCAGCTCACTGGCTTTCAGTGACCTCATACCCACTGCATGCCAGAGTGCACTGCCCAGGAGGCGGCGGAGGCAGGGCCACTCCAGAAATCCAGCTGGGGCGAAAGGGTTGCATAAATGTCCTGCAATTTTGTGGCAAACCGAATGGCACACACTGGTTAGCAGGCCTTCTATTTATGCTTCCCAATTTCGTGGTACGAAGCAGAGGCGATTCACTGTGTTTATTTATAGGGCCTCTTTTGGAGACTGAAACCACCAAGAGGTGGAAAAACCTGTTTTGATCCTTGTAAAATCTTGATAGGTTTCTGAGTTGCTGGAAAAACACTGCCTCCTTTTCTCCAGCCGGAAGTACCTGCCACTGCGTTCTCAGCTTTTCTTCGACGGCAAGGGCTAGCAGCGTGCGGTGCGGCCCGCAGACCTACCGCTTCTTCTTGGTTAGTGCAAGATGAACACACAGGGAGAACCGCAGCACAACTGACACGCAACTGCACCTGCCAACATCCCTCTTGCCTTCTTGCTGCTGCTGTTCTTCCTTTCCCCTTCTGTTTCCCACCCCCCCCCATCAAAATTTAGACTGCAGCCTCTTCAGAACAAGGGACTGCCTTTTTGTTCTGTTAAGCAGTATTGATTGATGGTTCTGCAATACACGGTTCTAAATCAAGTACGGGAGAGAAAGGGATTGGGTGGGGGGCTTCTGAGGAGCGACGAGCAAAGCCACCACTGCTTCGTCGAGTGCTGTCTCACATGCTTCTGTGCCCGAGACACAGCTTGTGACAGTTCTCGTTCTTCTCCTGCAACCCATCCCAACCCGCGGCCTTTGCCGCTGGCTCCACAAGCAGCTCAGTTTTTCAGATTACTGAAACCAAGTTCATTGTATGAGTGCGACTCACCCCTCTTCTGCATAAAGACAAAGAGGTCATCTAGGAATTTCTTCCGTTCCGGGTCAGTATCCAGCTCATACAACTGGGGGATAAAGCAGGTACAGTTTAGCTCACTCTGCCCCGTGCGTGGAAGGGGAAACAAGACGGCCCAAGCATCTTGGGCCTCACGAGATGGAATATCGGCTGCTCAACTCTGAGGGAGGACCAAGAAAACACACAAAAAGGTTAGCAGCAGATTTCGGACAAGGCCTTCAACTAAGGCAAGCTTCACCAGAGCCATTCTGATGGATAGCAGACGGGCTGTTGCAGAACGGACGCGTGGGCCTGGAGGTCTGTATCCTTGGAGCAAAACGCTGGCGTGATGCTGGTTTTTTTCATGGGTGCAGGGGCCGGGTGGAACAATGTGTTGTTTGGGATTGGAGAAAAGGAGAGCCACAAGCCCAAGTAATTTCATGTGACGGACATGCCTCTATCAAAAACAAAGCAAGATTTACAACAACGGCTTCACCACCCCACACCTTTCTTGTGCCCCGGAAATAAATGTGGTCGGAATGCCTCCCTGCCCTTGTTACTTCACTCCTCTAAGCACTGCTGCTGTGACGGCCCTGAAAGGTCGCCCAGAAGTAAACACCGGGGTCTTCAGATGCTGCTGAAAGGGAATGCCTGGTGGATAACCATCTTCTGAAATAAGCTGTGGACAAAACTGTCCACAGAGGATGTTTCAAAGAGAAATATTCTGCTACCCATCATCTCGCGGTGTTGCTTTTAAATAGCTGCCTTAGATAAAGTTGCCACCGACACTTAAAGCTTCGATAGACTCATGCTGTTTAAAAGCAAATCCATGTTTTTGGCTCAACAGACTGGGCCCCCAGTTTTGTGTTAGACAGTTCAATGCGCACTTCAAAAGATACTGGGTAGTCTTGTGAAACTCCCTTCAGACAGAATTTGTGCAATGGAAGCAGCTCCAGTGCTCTTCTCTGGTAGCAGCAACTACACAATAAAACCCATCGGGCCGCTGTACTGACCTTAGCGAAGTCCCGGGACACTTCTCTCCCTCTGCTGCTGTCCGCTTCTTCACTCCAGCTCAGGCTCCCATTCTGAAAGGGGAGGGTGGCATGAGGAAAAACCAGAGGAGGCAGCGATTAAAAAGAGGCAGTAGGTAAAATATGAATGGGCCACTCGCAACAGAGGAAGCTTCCAAGTCCAGAAGCAGGAATTCTCCTGACTGCTGCAGCTACCTTCCAGCCAATGGCACGGCCCCCCAGAATTAAGATCTGGATCCGGAGGCGCCCTCCTGGTCATGAAAGGGCTTGTCTGCCTGGGGATGGGCTGCTCCGGATTTGGAGGAAGAGTGCTGGAGGAGAAAACAACCCGCATCCAGACGCTTTCCGTTTGCAAATGCTCTTGTGCAACAACCTCTTTTAAAGCCTTCTTGGCAGCCCACTGGTTTACACACCTCGGCCTACGTGCTTCTGGCTGACTGCTCTGCGTACTGTAGAGCAATCCACCAAGACTTCGTGGGACTGCACGAAGAGAGAGAATCAAGTTTCTGGGCAAGGAAGGGTTCGTGGAAGCACACCAGGAGGTTTTTTCTCTTGCTCAGTTCTTCCGCGATCTGGAACCCAGCAAGTTCCACGATGCGGAGAGCGCCGTGGGCCACGTGCAAAGTTTACCACGCTCCCACCTTTGTGATATGTCAACTGTGAGCCACATGGGATTAAAGTCCAGTTGTTCTCCCACGAGGAACTCCTCCAAGTGGAATCCATTACCCTTAGAAATTTATCTTCCCAATGGTTTGCCAGAGCAGGAGGAAATGGCAGGGTAGCATTTGCTTCTAATGATTGTGGGAACGGAAGGATAAATCCTACAGCCATCTGAACTGCAAACATCACAGGGTAAAGGTAGTCTGGGCAACAGACAAAAAGCCAACTGAGGGAGGTCAAACATCACCGGCTGGTTCGGATCACCCGCCCACCATCTGGGAGCGAGCACACAGGATCTTACATCAGATAAAAAGGCAATGAATTCATGACGGGATTTCCAAACAAAAACAGTTTTTAATTAGAGCCACTTTAATGTCTACAGTCTTAGTGTCATCTGGTAGTGACACGTACACTGAATTACCAAGATGAATAGCCCCTGTCAGAGTCCGCCAAAGCTATGCCTCCCCTTTCAAAATGGCAGCGAGCTGCCGTAATGCCTACTGATTTAGTTTGAGCCAGTAATTCCTGCTGGAAAGTCAATTATCCGGTGAGCCCCATCAGCTGAAAGATATTTAATGGAGGATTATCGCCACTTCTGTCATGTCAGCTGTTTATTACAGCAGTCTCTTTCTCCACCCCTCCTTTAGGAAGAGCTCTGAAAACAAGCTTTGTTCACAGGATGTCCTTCATACAGAAATTATTTATGCCATTCTCCACACACCTTTGCAAAATCGGTCAACCGATTTTCCAAAAAGGACCAATAGGCTGGCAGTTCACAACAAGCCTCATCCTGTGAAAACAGGCTGGCACGCCTGCAACAACTGGCAATCCAGTTGCTGGAAAGAAAACAAGCCACATTGGTAGGCGAGGGAAGAGGGAGTAGAGGAGAAGGGCTTTTGCACCCTTGGTCACAGACACAAGCACTTTTGCGCAAAAGAAACTGCAAGAAACGGCAAGCCACGGTGAGCATTTCCCAGCGAGGAGCTGTTGGCAGCGAGGATGCAGTGACAAAATAAGGTATCCCACCCCCACCAAGGAACACCTTTGCACACATTTCAGCCAAACACAAGGTCCGCAGGGAACGGCAAGGTATCTTTATGTGTCCCTGTGGGTTTCCCTTCCAGAGTTCATGAGGATATTTTTTGAGGCTGACAATATGCTTCCCACTGAGAAAAGGAGAGACACTTATACTGAAACCTGCCCTATCTTCACAGCCCGTCTGCCACTGCATTGGCTTTTTAGGAAGAATAAAAAGAATTTTATTTATTTAATTTATTTAGAAAATTTCTAGGGTGCTCCATTCACCGAAGCCTCGGGGCGGCTTACAAATAAATAAATTAAAACACATAAATAGCAAATAGTGGCAAAAGGACGACCAGAAAGCGGGGGGGGGGGGGGTTTGCATCCAATTACTTTCTACAACACACTGGTGGAATCGGTCCTGCATATGCAGCCAAGGTACTACAGATCAAGGGTTCTACATAAAAACAGCTGGCCAGGGGTGCACAAATACACACTCATAGACAGCCAATGAATATTGGTGCTTTACAGGTAGGATGCCAAGGATTTGAGAAAAGCGATTTAAGACAGGGCCAGCCACAGCAGAGGGGATTTTGGGGGGTGGTTTGCATACTCTTGTTTTTCTTCTAAAAGAAATAGGAAATCAGAAGAAACCTGTATTTATCTCTAGCAAAACACCCAGGGATCCAGCAGAGCCCAGCACGTTGATGGCAAATATAAAGGAAGTTGTGTGCCATGAGGAATGGACTACATTCCTCACCAGAAAAACTTTTTAGTTCTCCCGTCTTGTTTTATTTTTGTTCAAAATACCTTCTGGTTTTGTGCTGGTGAGCTTTGATTCGTCTGTTTTTATGCTGCTTTGAATTTCTAAAGGCTTTATATGATGTTTCATCATGCGTGTTAGTTTTATTCCTTGTGAACCACCCCAAAGAGCATCGACTATCGGGCAGCATAGAAATGGAATAAGTAAATAAAGAAAGGAAGAATCTTACAGCCTCTAGAGAGCATTTGAGGAGCCATTCGGAGCCCCACGTCTGAGGTCAAAGAACTGAAGCGCCAACCCCCTCCCACTGCAGCAGGAATGGAAAGAGCCACACGGTCGGCTGTCTGAGGTCAGAAAGGTAACCTCAGAAGTTCGTAAAAGGGAATACTATGGGGGCGAGGAGGAAAGGAGACCAAACAGCTTGGGATTCGGACTCTTCTGCAGCTGCTCTAGGTAGACAGAGATAACACTCAGAGCTCAGACGCCTATAGGCACCCCAGGAGGAAGGACTGCCCTCTAAGGAAACACAACCGGCCAGTGCCCTGACTGCAGTCCTTGCAGTGGCACCGGTGGTGCTGAACCCTCGGTTCTTTCTCCGTAGTTCTCTCGGGATTCTGCTTCTGCTGTATGCTGCTTCCCATAAGTTGCTCTCAAAGGGTTTAGACAGATGATTATAAATTGTGAAAATAACATAAAAATCTGCAGAAGAAAATAACATACAAATCTGCAGAAGAAAATAACATAAACATCTGCTTCTTATGAAGCTCCGTGTGAAAACACGCCTCCAGCACTTGTGGGCCGCAAAGGGAAGCTTGAAACTGTGTAGGCAGTACCTGGTGATTTTTCAGGCACCCACGTAGTGGCCGAGAATGATTTAAAACCCATAACTACTATTAATTTAAAACATTAATGGGAAAGATGCAGTCCAACAACCTTTGGATGGCCACACTTTCCCAAACACCGTTTTAAAAGAATAAAATTCCATTTTTAAAGAAGTGTCTGTTACATTAAACCTGGACATTTTTTTTAAAACTCCTGGGTTAAAATGTACGATGTTTGCATCAAGTTCTAATTAATGATGGACTTTTCTCTCAAGATCAAATTAATGAGCTTGTGGTCATGTTGAATGGAAGTTTAATTTTCTGGGCAAAGGGGGAAACATTTGTCCTTACAGTATTACAGGTAAAATGCTGTTGGCCATGCACAGTATTATAGCTACAAATTACTAGTATTTATGATTGAAATGGGCAGCACAGATGCGTTTCTCACAAGAGAAACTTCTGCTCAGTGATTACTAATCTTGCTTCTGGAAAATTCTGTATACTCTGTCCAGAATTCAGCGAATCTCACTCTACACTAGATTATAGCCTTGTCTAAGTAAGCGATCTTGCTTAGTGTCCTCATATACACATTGAAGGCCAAGCAGAAGCCTATTAATTCTGCAACTGCCTTCAGTTGCGCAGTTAAGCAGAAATAGCCGTGCAGTGTTAAGGGAAGTGGGCTGCAGGGTCAGAGGTTTGAGATGTGCTCCTAGGCTGCATAAAAGTGTCATTTAATACTAAGACGCTATATTTGAATTGTGACCACAACTACTGAGTCCAGGAAATTAGCGAGACAAAAATGGAAACCGTAAATGACAACTGACCAATTAAACCAGGGGTGGGGAACGCCTCTCAGTTCAAAGCCAAAATCCAGTTTAGGAGACGCTCCTGGGCAATATGCTGGTGGTGGGCAGGTCTGAAGGCAAAGGGGTAGGAACCAAAATGGCCACCAGTCAAAATGACCCACGCCTGGCATATTTCAGCTGAAAGCTCTGTTGCCACTAATGATGCCTTAGAAAGGTCATTTTAACCTTTAAAAGGGGTAACCCTGCTCAAAAGTCAGGAAAGCACCACGCAGCCAGGCCCTGGAAGGGGTGGGGCCAGAGCCATCCGAGGAGAAGGGAGAGCTGACTGATGCTCCTGGACCCCGTCATAAATTGGCTGAGACCACCCTCCATGGGTGGCTACGGGGGCGGAGGTGGGGCCTCAGGATGGGCGACAGCCTTTTCCCCATGCCTGGCAGAGAGAAATGTGTGCAATATTAAAAAGCCATACAACTTTATACACTGAAAGAGGTCAGGAAAATCCACTTCCTTTACCTAACCCATACCTGTTGCGGAGTTCCCTTCTTCGAGCTGCAGAATCAGAAACGCTCTGGGCACAGTGTTGCTGATGTTGATAGTAACAACGCACAAAACTCACACGCACACAGCCCTGTCCTCGGCCAAGCGGAGAGCCATCGTCCCATCTCTGCTTCCTCTGGGCTTCCTCTCCCACGTGACGCCCTCTCAGCCGCTCGGCAGTCATTTCCCCTGCCCTACGCAACTGGGACGGTATCTGGGCTCCTACGTGGTCTCTGCATCTCGATCTTGGCTTGCCTTTGCTCCCGTCTCCTCTCCGTTCCCCAGCAAGCTTAGACACTGTTCCTGCATATTTACCTGAACAAATACTTGACTACAGGTTATGCCGTCTTCAGCTGGGAATCACAACACACTGATAAAATGGATGGTTGGAGGGAAATGGTGGGTCCTACGTTCTACCTGAAGTCTCAAACAGCCAGATATCACAGATGAGTATTTCAGAAATGGTGTGTTTTAGAGAAAGGGGGAGAGGGCAGGCGGGGGGGGGGGGTAGCTTCAGGCCATCCCCAAAACCTGCTGGCAACATTCCCCCTTATCTCCATCCCACAAACACACCTTCTAAGGTTTGTCAGCTCTCAAAGCACGCCAGGGAGACTCCTCCCCAGAGACTGAAAGCCTGACTTTACAGAGGCAATTAGAGCTGCAGCTATTTTAGGATTACTCCCCAGCCACCTGGAACATCTTATTAGAGTGGAATTCAGATGTCCAAAACAATTTCAGTTTCCCCAACAACTCTACCACCCCCTTGCAAAAGCTAGTTAACCCCTTTCTCAGGGGCAGAAGCTGAAATTTCTGACAAAATTGTGAGACTTTTAAAAATTTAAATTCCTTTAGAAGCAAAGTTTCAAATGATTCAAGGAATCCTCCCACTTGAACCAGTGCTCAACGTAAAAGGAGAAACTTCACTGCTTATATGCTTTGTTTTCTGCCTAAGTGCAACCCCAGTCATACATCATAACGCTCAAGATAAAGATCGGGTGGCATCGTCATTTTGGAAGAACAAAGGCCTTTATTTCCATTAAAGCAACATTTGCTGCTGCAAGCATTATATATTGATGCAGCAGAAGAACAAAATGTGGAAGAAAGCCTGGGCAATTTTAGCAATTCTCCCAAAATGGCTGCTCCTCCAGGTTTCAATTTTCTGCTGGTGTTCTTTGTGTATCTACCATATGGCACACATTGGTTTGCGCTGCTGCAGTTCGCTTTAGTTAGGGGACCTTTCTCTCCTGTCCCCAAGCTGAAGTTCTGGGGCAATAAAAACCTTCTGAAAACTAAAAGCAACGGGTCACCATAGGCTGGAGTCAACTTGCTGGCACATAACAATAACATATGTTGTTTAATATTATTGTTTTTCTTGCTTTTGTTATTATAGTTTGGGAGCTGTCCAAAGAGCTATCCTGACTAATGGGCAGGGCAGAAATTTAGCACACTAACAAACAGGCCAAAATCCAATTCTAAATCTGAAACGCCGACTTCCAGAAGCCACAGCCATCAAAAGCCAGGTCAATCAGTGGTGATGTGTCACTTCCAGAAGAACTGAGGAGATCCAAGAGAATTGGTGGGTCTGCATTTCCAGAGCACTCCGACAACAAAATATGAGATGCACCACCTGCTGTTCACCAAAAGGCCATGCAAAACCTACAAGTAGGACCAAGGGTGCTGTGACACCCCCCCCTCCCCACACACACACACACACACACATTCAGGGACACACTGCAACTGTGGTCACCATAAGTCAATACCATGCGTGTCTGGTCCTGCTTTTCAGCGGTCTGGGTGCTACACCTTGAAGTAGTAAACTACACAGTTCAACTATGTTTGGCGTAAGTACCTTCCCTTTGTTGACTGATCAACCTGCTACCAATCCGCTTCTGGTGCTAGAATAGGAGAGAAATTTCACCTTAACCACTTTCTCCACCCCACGTAGCTTTTACACACCACAGCCATGTCCTCCCTGTTACTCAACTTCTTACCAAGCCGAAAAGCCCCACACATCATAATCTGTCTTCACAGGAAACAAAGAAATATGTTTCTACTGGAGCGCTGCATGTTTATATGTTAGTATACACGTGGATCTTATAATGTATTTTTAAGGCATGGATCTTGGTATACCACCCTGAGAAATTAGCTCATTGGGCAATATAGCACTGTAAAAAATGAAGCGAGAATGAAAGGAAATCAGGATTTCCAAGCCTAATTATTTTCTTGCGCGGTGTTTTTTTCCCCCTAACAAGGAACACCCATCTTGAGATAAAGCTGTTTTCCAAGGAGCCATTTTGATTTCACCACACAGGTTTTGCCACACACTGAGCTGAGGGGGCGGAGAAGCTGGAGAGAGAGAGAGAAGTGAATTGAGGATTATTAGAGAATCAACAGAAATTCCTTCTGTGGGTGGAGATGAGCCATCGGAAGTGAACCAGATGCTGTTTAAAAAAAAAAAAAAACAACTCTGTTGTAGTACTAAACTCTGATAAGATCAGGATTACTACCCCACCCTGGAAGCTCGCCAGCACTCTGTGAAAGAAGAGTAGTAATTATCTCTGTCGCACAGGCCTTCTGCTGCCTGTTATATTTTGCAAGAGCAGGAAAATAAGCCCACTCCTCCTTCTTACTGGTAGAAGAACTTGCTCGTTTGAAATTTACAGGCTTCTAAATCCTTGAGACGGATATATTTGATCAAGGCGAAGTGGGAGAACTGGGAAACACATACATTCCCAAGGTGCACCTAAACTGTTGCCCTGTTTTTCAGGCTTCTTTGACCATTCTTGTGAGCTCTGCAGCTGCTCACATCCTCCAACCCAAAGAACATTTACCCAAACCGGGGAAAACCAAAGAAAATTCACCCAAATGCAAGAGAAAACGACCCAGTAATTTCATGCCTCCGCTTCTCCTACTTACCTTTCATGCAAGCTCCTCACATTCCACGATGACTTCCTGCTTTAATTTTTACCTAACTGCCTACCTAACCATAAAGACTTTCACTTTATGCTTCGCTGCAAATGCCTCCATCATCAGTGGAAACATGCGTTGGGGCCACTGCGTAGGAGGGCTTCTTTGTGTGAGCATCGCATTTGTGGAATTTCCGCCAGATGCCCATTTTACTAGTATTTGACTTTTTTTGCCTGGACTCAAAAGAGTCACATCTTCCTTTGCTGTTCTCCGGCTTCGTTGTGTTTTATGTGTTCCAATTTCAATTTGTTTTATAGCAATATTGTTTCAAATGCTGAGTTCAAAGCTCCCTTGAAGCCGAAGGATGAAAGGTCAGGTAAAAATATTTGAAGGATTCATTTATAAAAGGCTCTCCCTTCCACTACTACTAAGTCACAATAAGAGTTCTACGAGCACTAAAGGACCCAAAAAAAGGCGTTTGCTTTTTGCAGAGATTTCTGGACCATTCAGAAAAACGGATTTAGTGGTAGGCAATAAAACTATAGCCCATGATTAGGGGAAAAGCATAATTAATAGGGGACCCTGTTTTTTTCCTGGAAAAAAAAAACGACCCAAGATTCTAAAAGCAATGCACTAAGTTGAAAATATGACATTGTCCTGGTTTGCACAGAATACTAATCCATGGTTTGTTTAACCTAGGACTAGCCCACAGTTTGCTATCCTATCCAGGAGTTGTCTGGCAGTTAACTGATCAAACAGTGGTGGATATCAGAATCCTTGGGTTCTTGTTTCCTTCCTGCTCTGACCACTTCCTCCCTGTAACCCAAATGCTATTGTGGAACTGCAGTACTGTCACGCAGAACAATTGTTTTTGTTGTTTTGTTTTGAACCACTTCAGGCTATTACAGGTGAAACAACCCATGGACAAGCCATACTGTGTTCACACATCATGACAACCCAGAACTGAATAAACCATAGGTTGAACAAACCATGGGTTAGCGTTTTGTGCACAACACACTAGCTCTATGAGTTAATCGCATGTTATTCAAAATGCATAAAACGTAGAATAAAACTGCAAATTTACACACGTGCACAAGGCAGTGGAGTTACAGGACCATTAAAGGAGGATGAGGAGAAACGGAATGAATTCTTTGCATCTGTCTTCATGGCAGGAGATACAGGACAAATACCTGTGCCTGAACTGGTGTTTTCAGAAAGGGAACGTGAGGAACTGAGGCCAACTGTGGCGACAAAAGTTCTCAGCCTTATTGACAAATTGAAAGTGAATAAACCTTCAGGTCCAGATGGTATCTATCCTAGAGTTCTTAAAGAACTCAAATATATCACTGCTGATCTTCTTACAAAATATGGCCACAAGAGGTTAAATAACAGCCTTTGTTCCAGAGGACTGGAGAATGCCCAGTTAACACCGATCCAGTGTTAACTGAGCATCCAGTTTCTTGCATCCAGGGAATTCAAGAAATTACAGGCCAATTAGTTTAACTTCTGCTCCACGTAAATTAGTCCAAAGTATTATTAAAATTAATAAGCACGCAGAAGGCCAAGCCCTGCTGAGTAAAAAAAATCCACATCACTTCAGCAACAGCGAGTTCTTTTCAAGGTTTTCAGGAGGGCAATAAAAATGTGGGTAGTGGTCAGCCCGATTTCCTTCGGGTTCTTGACAAAGTCTCTCACCAAAGCCTGCCTTCTGAGCAAAAGCAGAAGATGAGGAATGAGAGCAGACGGCCTCTAAAACGGGGCTGAACGATTTCAAGGAGGAAAAGGAGAGCCCCGGCTACGAGCTAGGCAATATGCTACTTTCAGTATTAAAGGCGGCATGCCTGTGTTGCTGGGGAACATGGGCTGGAGCATCCTGTTGCACTCTGTGTGCTTGCGAACTTCCCATGGGCGGCTGATTGGCATCTATGTGAACAGAATGTCTAGACTAGGCAGAACCCTGGTCTCCTCCAGCACGGCTCTTCTAATGCTCAAAAGAGAGCCTGAAGAAAATAAATATTCCAGTGCATGTTAGCATGTATTTTGTCCAGAATTGCCCAGAAAACTTCCTTTTTTCCCTCCACCTGCCATGAAAATTAGTACACGCAGGTGTATACATTCAGTCACTCGATAGTTCACAGTTTTTATATTCAAGGCAGGGATGTTCCGGATTCCGAATCACTCAGTGGCATCTAAATTTGGCATGTGCAATGCTTAAAAAACAAAACATCACACCACACCACACCACACCACCCTGGGTGTTTGCTTGGGTTGCGTGACTTCACTTTTGACCTCAACTTATGGAATATTCAGTACCTAGTCAAGCACCCTGAAGCAAACACGCCTAGATTACAACCACTCGAAAATCTTGATAGCGTTTCTGTTCTCACGTCCTACAAATGCATCAGTATTTCAGTTCTATGACAGAAGGATTATATAACTTACTTTTATATGAGCACAGAGCTGGAGGGCTCAAAACGAACTTGCTGAAATTCGCTCTGCATACTGCTTCTCCCGAGTAACCCAAGAAGCTACGCAGCTATGCCTATAACCAGACAGGGGTCATATACCCAGCCATCTGCAAGAACCGACAGCCCAAGAACGCCCCGCCACACTTGTGAAAAGTTTTCAGCTCCCCTCTACTCGGTGACACGCTGCACACCGCAGCCGCTGTCGTTCGGGCCAGCAGGGCTTAGCTGGATTAGAGACGCGCTGAGCGGGAACGGCTGAACGCGCTCGCTGCGCTCCCCTTTGGGGATCCGCTGCTTCTTGACACACGGCCAGCACGCCCTCCCTCCTCATTTGGTGCTGACAAGATTCTCACCGCCCCCGTGTCATGAGCTGAGCCAGCTCTTTTGTCAGCGAGAGTGTTCGGCAATTATTTACTTGGCTGAGGGAGGCTGAATGGCACTAAAAGCAGCCAGGCATCGACACCCTTGTTCCTCCCGGTAGTTCTCTTGCTAGCAGAAAATGCCCGTGTGACCATCCAGCTGCCTTTTCCGCGGGGCAGCCGAGTCGGTGTTTTAAAAATGGGACGAAGAGGACAAGGGCCAGGTGATGCCAAGAACACCTCTCCAGTCAGGAACACATCCATTTCAAGCGAGGTAAACGAAGGAGAGCACCGTTTTCAGAGCAAAAGACCATTTCGGTCAATGTAAAAACCAATCTGGGCAGCACTTTGGCAGAGGAGTATTACGAAGGGGTGATGCCAAGGGGTTTTCTGGGGGGAGAGGGAAGCGCACGCAAAGGGAGCAGAACTCACTGCCCACAACCCTTCCAAGCTTTAGGAGCACCCGCAAGAAAAGAGGAAGTCCAGCCACCCCCAGCACGGTCCCGGCCTGCACTGTACAGAGCGAGAGGGCAGAGCCCCGTGGGTGAATTGCACCACCGGCCTGCACATGGAGGGGGCGAGGGGAAGGAACGCCATCTCTTAATGCTCCTCTGCACCAGGACAGCGCCCTGCAAGATCTGACCTGCCAGAGGAACGTTCCAGCCGCACCTGTCCCTTCGCTGCCCTACCTGCCAAGGGGCGCTGGTGTGCTAACATTGGTGAACGGCCAGAAAGGTGGCGAGGAGGACAGTCCGCTCCACCACCTCAGAAGACCAGCGCCTCATGCTGCTGCACGCACAGATCGGGGCCTGTGCTCTGGTGAGCCAGGAGGCAGCAGCCCGTTTCACTCGCAAGCAGCGAAACACGCTGAGGCACAGGTTATTAATATCCAGCTGCGAAACGCCCCGGGCTAGACTGTGCGCCACAGCTATCATTTCTGGTCTTAAAAAGCTATTCTGGTAATTGTAGAACCTTCTTTCTGCCCTCCTGGTGGTACCAGTCTTGCTGACGTGGAAATATAAACACCTCTCCCTCCGGAAGCAAAACTGCTATTACTGTAATATTTCTATTAATATTACCATTGCCATTACCATGGAACTAGGTTCTATGTTACTCAACAACTGCCCAACAGATGTAGGGAGAAGATAAAGCTCCGCCCCCCCCACCGTCATTTATTTTCTTCTGTTTTCACACTTTTGTCACCCTTTTTATTAAAAAGAAAAGGCACTGGTGTATTCAATAAACCTGTAACTGTTCAAAGCCTACAGTCAGTGGGGCACAAAGCCACCACGAAGCCATCTGCCTAAAATCCACAGGCACCCTAAAACAATGACTTCAAGAGGTATCGACACAAATAAGGCCACTTCAGCCTCACTGTTGTGGAATTTGGCACAGCACCACAAAATGGATTTCCTCTCGAGGCAGGGGCCTTGCAGGGGAGAGGGCTATTCATCCACTGCTAAACTGCCCCCCCCCCACAAAATAAAATGAAGCTCCTAGGCGGATTCCAGTCGATATGGATCTGTAGTCTATTTGGCTGCCTCTTATTCTTCTTTGATTTTATTTTTAAAATACCTTGGAATTTTTTTTAATAAAGTGCGGGTTTTAAATGTCTCAGTAAAAATTTCAAAGGGCATGAAAAGTCATTTCAGCTATTAGACTGCAGGGAAAATATATGAAGCACTTTTCCCATAAAGGTCGCTTTCACAACATTCCCAGAGCTGTTTACCCATGGCAGGGTGCTTTTCTTTTCAAGACCATCTTTGACTTCCCCCTTCCCTTGCACCAATAAATGTACGATGGAGAAAGGCTGGCACTAACTGTCCAGACTATATTCCCATCCTCCTTCCCTGGCCAGAATTGTAGCAACACTAATAAAGACTCAGCCCTCAAAGGTTACTCTGCTTACTGCAGGCATGTGAAGATCAAATGGAATTTTGCACCCAAGTGGCATCATTCCCTGGCGGGCCTGAAAGCGCTGTACACACACCGGCGCAGTTTCCAAGAGGCAGTGCAGATGCAGAAAAGATCCTTGGAATGCAGAGGCACGTTGGAAGCGTGCGGACACATTTCCAAGATGATCGAGTCGCCACAGCCAGCAGCGTCCCCGCTCCCCATGGGCTTTGAGGCTCAGGAAGGAAAGGAAGCCAAGCCTGAAGGCAGGCAGGCTAGCCATGGGCAGCGTAAGTTCCATTCATTTCCACAGATCTACTCTGCGTGGGACTAACGCTGAACACTCCCCATAGTTCATCCGAGTGCTGGGTGAACAGTAACTACCTGCTGCAACTTAGGCTGTGGTCCTCCTCGAAACAAACGCCTCGGTTACTATCCAGACTAGGTTAAGGTGCTGTGCTCCGTGTGGGCTGCTGCAAAGAGCAAAGGCGGCTGCTGAAGTGCCTCAGAGTAGGAGTGCCCAGCCTCAGGGACAGGGGCCAAAGCTGACCTGCCAGGGTTCCTTAGAAGGACCAAGCCCTTCCCCTGCCCCACATCCTTTCCCCCGCCCCACATCCTTTCCCCCAGCTGCCAGTGGCTAAGAGGTTTCCTGGTGTCTGTGAAGTTTGGTCCACATTCTACAAGGTTAAGATGACTCTAAGGCTTAGTTACAGGAATAAGTTGGCATTTTGGCCTCATGCTTTCGTTATACCCACCCCTGGAACGCACGTCCTAAGAGCTCCCCCAAAATGTTCTGCACCCAGGCATGAAGCACATTACTCCAGTTTCACAATGCATGAAAGGCCATTTCTGGCAACCGCTGAACATCCCCTGTGACTTGGGAATAAGAGACTTGCAGGCCCACCCCCTCCCATATGATGCTGCCTAACAGATGAAGTCAGCAGGGGAGGCCCTCTGGCATCCCGTCACCATGTGAAGTATGCGTGGTGAGGAACACCGGAAACGGCCTAGTCAAAGAAGACCTTCAGGCACGGGATGCCTTGCTCAGGAGATCTGCATAGCCCCTGCTGCACGCATCCCCCCACCCCCCGAAAACCTTTTCAGTTTGGTCAGTCTTAGCCTTCTCTTCAAGATGAGGGATTCATATTTTGCCCTGTTTGAAGCAGAAAGGCATAAAAAATCCCCCAGTGCTTTGTCAAGAAGAACACAGCATTCCTTCAGCCTCTCTCTGATTCTAATAGGTAGGAAAGGCCAGAAACTTCTGAATTTTGGGGGCATGCGGTTATCAAATGTTTAGCATGGCATCCAACTGACTTACGTAAAGTTAACAGAGACAGAATTCACAGTGTATTAGTTACAATGGCCCTCATTATACATGTTCATCGGGGATTATTTATATCTAGTAGACTGTGGCATTCCAAGTAGATAACATCCAGAGCATACCATCTTAGCACCACTGAATCGTGCACGTTCTCTGAGGAAGACCAGTGGCCATGGGGGGTACTCTGGCCCCACCCTCTCCTCTGTTTGCAGAGGTGCGCACCGCATCATGCTGGGACTGGTCTTGGAGAGATGGGAAACTTGCTCACTGACCTGCTTGAGCTGCTCATCCAATCGCCAGGCCTGCCTCCCAGATGCCGAGCCAGAATAGGGGGGGTTCAGGGGCTCTTCACCCGGCTTGTCCTTTCCCTGCTGTGCTCGCGGCATCCCTAGAATCGGTAGGGGGTTAGAGGAAGAAGCCACTCTTTGGTTAGGGGGGGCAACTTTGGATGCATGAAGATACTTCAAAGCGGAACATGCATCTTTCCCAGTTCTTGGACCATCATCCTCAAGATCACCATCTTCCAAATCCTCTTCTCCTTCTTCCTCCTCCTCCTCCTCCTCTTCCTCCTCCTCCTCCTCTTCTGAGTTCATACTGCTCTGATCAAATGTCTGGGCAGCGCCAAGCATTGGCGGGACTCTGGCTGAAGGACCAAGAGCCGGGCCACCAGGAGTCTTGCCAGAGGTGGCGGCAAGAGTGGCTTGCGGCACCGTCAGCTGTTGGGCGTAATGCAGCTGGGAGTCTCGCATCTGCCTCGGCTGCCGCTCTCTGGACTCCATCTGCAGAGGGGCTTGCTGCTGCTGCTGCTGCTGCTGCTGCTGCTGCTGCTGCTGCTTTTGCAGCTGTTCCACAACAGCCTCCAGCTTCATCCTGTCGTTAACATGGCTGTGATAAGAGGAGAGTGCTGCTGGACAAGGCTCCAGCCGACGGCTTCACGGAGCAACAGGATCTGGAACACAAAGATGGGTCTGTATTAATTTCTTCCAGCTCTCCTTCCGCACAGGACAAGAAAGAGAACGCAAAGCTCATGCCCTTGCCTGACTGGGGATCCATGGAAGCCTCAGCTCCACACTCCTGCTCAGTTCTGAGCTTCTTCGAAAGGAGGTAACTTCGCAGTTAGCATGCCCCCCCCTCCCAAACACCAAAAAGCAGCATCTGAAATGGTTTCATCACCTGCGCAAGAGCAGTATTCTTCTCCCACCTTGCCACGTTTCCTAATATTTTCTGTATTTACATTGCGGACATTTTAGAGCATTACATTTTCCCATGGATTAAATAAATATTTACCCCTGCTTTCAGCTCTCTTAGGATCCTCAGTGTGACTCATAAATACATGACCAGAAAAAAATAAAATAAATAAAATCCAAGCAGTAAAAAGGAAAGAAACCAGAACCAAAACCCATTTTATTTCTCGGCAAAATGTTCTGAAGGAGCGACATTAAATGACTATTCAGAAGCTTATTTGCATGCAAACCAAGCTCTTCACTTTGCTTATTTATTTTGTCATGGCCTAATCAGATTATTCAAGGATCATAGTGAAATCTGGGGATTTGTGTATATGCTTTGGCAACCAAAACCTAAGCAGGGGCTATTTAGAATAAGAGAGGGACTGTTTTAACCCACTCTGTCCCAGATCTTAGCGCAACTGATTATACTGACCAGAGGCACTGTGGTGCAGTGGTAAGTGCCTGGCCCAGCTTCAAACCCCCACTTAGTCATGAAGTTCAACAGGTGACCTTGCTCCAGTCTCCATCTTTCAACGGGACTGTTCGTACAGTAAAACAGGAGGGAGGGAAGAAGCACACATGCATTTCTTAGGGGCAGGGTAACATGAAGCATAATAAATATGTCAAATGATCTCAGGACTTGGACTATATCAAGACTGTATCTGGAAAAATAAGAGCCAGTCGATGGCCACACAAGTTTAGCTGTCAAATCTGGACGAACCTGCAGAAAATCCCAGGGGCTGGGCTGAAATTTCTAGTTGCCTGTGCAACAGTTGTTTTTATTCCTCTTGGACATAAACACGCCCGCTCGCCCAACCCGTCGGCAAGCTTCGATCTTTAATAGCCACCCACTTCACTGCCAGAGCAACAGCAACGGGCCCCTCACCAATTCAACTAGGGGCACAGAACGCCTGTGAAAAAAGGGGCGGGGAGGACGCAGAACGAAGCGACTCGCCAGGATCCGGCACTATCAATCGCCACTGCAGCAGCGACAACGGGGTGCCAAGAAAGACGGAGCGCTTCACGCTCCCGTAGCAACTGCTCCTTTATTAGCAAGACCTGCTTCGCCCCCTTAGAGCCAGGGAGAAAGCCTATCGACACAATAGCAAGCTGGGAGTATCAGGTGGGTTACAAGACGGGGCAGGAAAACTTGCAATGGTGTGATCGACCGTCCTCAGCAAATGGTTATGTCCTGATCCAAACGCAAGAAAGCGGTTGCGGGCTGGAAATGGAACTGCAGAATTGATGGGCTGTCTTGGTGCAGCGCGAGGGGCAAACAGGGGTTCGCCATGAAATCCCCTCCCTGCTAGAGTGATTGTGGCTCAGTACACATGGCTGGAACAGACACATTCCCCCCCCCCCTTTCATGCCTGCCCCCCCCCAACGCTTTGTTGCACCACCCCCTCCCTCTGCCGTCTCCCTGTGCTGAATTTTACCTCGTAAACACCTTGGGAGGTGGACCTATTCTCACCTACACTGATGAAGAATGAATAATACCAAGTCATCTTTCTGAGGACGACTCACAGGATGATGAGAGCTGTATTTGACCAGTAACATGTACGGGATGTTCATTAAAACAGAAGTGCAATATATAAATAGAAATCAGAAAGCAAATAGCAACTAGGAACCAGTCTCTGTTCTTGCTTCAGCCACCTCTCTGAGGAATGAAGCGAAAACATTTTTGCTTTATCGCCACTACAATCTGCATGCAAAACATTCTCTCTTAACAAAGCACATCTGCTAAAATTAAGTGTGCGGCCGCAAGTGGCGATGAAGTAGCCCCCCCCACTCCTTGTAGGAGGGATGGAACAATCAAAGCAAAAGGAACTCGGAACATCTTTCAAATGTTCTCCTAAGCACCAGCTTAATAAATGCAAGCCCACCTTCTAGTTTTCAAGAATGCTCAGCGAGATCTTCCCATCAACTGCAGTCTCCAAAAAAATAAACATTGAAATGGTACTGTATGCCAGGCTTTTAGTTACAGGATTATTTTAGTATAATTTTGCCTAAACATAGCATTTGATGAGCTATTTAAAAACTATAAAGGCAGTATTTTCATGGCCACAGATGTTAACATCACACATGGCCCTGATTCTCACATGGGTCTAGGATTTTACTATAGACTACTTTTGATTTTTTAAAAATAGTGTATTGTTTTGATACTTTTATTGTTGCATTTTTAAAATTACTTTTAGGATTTATAAGGATAGTTTGTTTCTGATTTTGGGGCTATGATTGAAGTTTGCTCTGAGGGCGTTTGGCAGTTGGATGGTATGCCAATCTAATAAATACAGGTAAAATATTTCAGGTAGCTAGCCCAACTTGTAGTGTATTACTACACAAGGTCTAGTTGCCTCAGGTGCAATGAAAAGGGAACATTTGCCACAGGTACAAGAGTATGCCATGTTGATGAGTCAGGTAAACACCTCAGGTGCAGGAACGTACAAGGTTTTATCTCTGGTTCCTGCAGGTCTCACCCAGGTCAGAAACAAGCCTACCTGGCAGGTTCCAGCAAGACTGGCTCATTGTTGCTGAATGTTGTAATTAGACACGAATGCGAAGGCCCACTAGCCTCCAGCACTAAAGAAAGAGCTTGCAAGAGGACTGCCACACCTTGACTATAAATGCATTCATCGCATGCCCGTCAAAACAGTTTAATAACATTTCAGATCTGGAAATAGTTCTCAAGCTTTGTGGGACATGTGTGTGTTCAAAGTCCAGTCATTTCTGCTTGCCGTGCCTCTGGCTTTGCTGACCAAACCCTCTAAACTCAAGCTGATGCTGGATCGCTAGCCATTCGCTGGACACGCAGCTTCTTCTGCTTCCATCTCTGCGCAGCGTTCACTCAACTAAGCATGCAGAACGCAGCTCCAAAGGAGCAATGGCAATTTCACTGACATGGCATCCTGACGTCTTCAGAGCACAATATTATATCCTAAGGATCAAGAGGCAACCACACAAATAACCTGAGTGCACATCCCAAGATGACTCAAAACCACTTCCATTCAACTGGACCCAAAACATTCTGGGAAAAACAAGTTTCCAAAGAATACTCCATAATAAAGTGTAATTCACTGATCCACTCTTCTAAGTTACAGCCAACCTTCCAACATGTAATCAAGGTAGGCAATAATGAACACATCACAATAACATGATAAACAAGACATCTAAAACCAAGCATTTCTAAAAGATAAAAAGCAACAACTAGAGTCAAGGCCATATCAAGGATGTGAGGTAAGATTAAAGAAATGCCTGAGAAACCCGTTGGAATAAAACAGGACAATGAGCTACAAACGGGCTAGGTATGCATCACAAAGAAAGCTATTCAGATTGTAGCGCCATGAGGAAAAGTCCCCATTAACCGCACTCTTTTCTATCAGCTTTGTCAGTGTCCTCCAAATGTTTGCATAACCAGATCCCCCAACACTGACTTCCTTACTGTACTTTCAACCTGACCTCCCATCGCCTCCTGGCCGGCATTCTTGACAGCTATGTATACCCATGATAACTCTGCTGCAGAAATCCATGAAATATTTTTGTTAAGTGCCATGGATGGAACAAGTCTAAATAATATGTGCGAATATCCTAAAGGTTCCTCTCATTCTATCACCTGTCTTCCTAAACCAAGCCGTCCCAAAATTCCCAGTGTAATGACTGCTCCCACAATAAGCCAGAAGGGCATTTGCTTATTATGTTTACCTCCTCCTTCCCAGAGTGAATACTTCGTATACACATGATAATCAGAAATAACCAGTTTCTTTTTCAGCCTTTGGTTTCCCCTCAAAATAATAACAAAAATGTTTACCAGTGCAGTGTGGGCCAAAAGTACTGACTCAGGCGGAGGACCTCACAGTGGGCAAACAGAAGGAGTTCATCTCACAAGCGTTTCTCAACATCGGTGCTAACAGGAATTTGTGTCACGGTGGTGGGGACAGGTTCCAGAAATGTTACCATGCTGATGGAGGACATTTCTGGCACCTAAGAGACTAAATGTGGCCCAGTGAATACGGCGCACCTACTTTTGGCTCACCTTGTAGTAGAATGAAGTCCTACCTTCACGGAAGCCCTCTCTCAATACAAAAGAACTTACCTCCAGTTTTACCCTGCAGTCCAATGTCTTAGCTGAGACTAAGTACCATTGCACTGTTAGCCTCTGGTTTTATAAGGAGAAAACAATAAATTATGGCAGCTTTCCTCACACTGTCCAGGTATGATCAGAACTATAGTACTACTTTACTGGAGGAGAACAAGTTGATACAAGAATGAACCTTAGCCAGGTTCGTGTGTCCTTTCTCATCTCCTGCACAGCTGCAAAACAACAACACCAAAAAAAGCTTTTGCATGCATTTTCTGCTGTCTGTAGTTTACTGTTACATCTGAATGCAAGCAATCTGCAAATCCTGATATATGAAGCAGGCTTCTTTCAATAAGCTGTAGTTAACGCTAGCCACAGTTCAGGGTTCAGATGCAATGTTAAACTGTGGTCAATCGAAAATAGAAGCAAATGCTTTTAATGTCCTCCTTATAACCACATAAAGAAGCTTCCCTAGGATTGTTCTCTAGGGATAAACCATAGTTTATTAGTATGCCTGAACATAAGCTCTCTGCCACTTCATTAAAAGAAGATCTACATAATCATGATGGGCATGGAGGAAGAAAAATAGTGTTCTCTCTTTCCACACACACTCAAACTGCAAGTGAATTGGACTGGCAGCATGCTTGGGGTACTATAAATGGATTATTTATCCAGGCAGCACATAACGAACTTCAGCAAATGGTGGCTGGCATAGCTTTGCCACAGAGTATGATGGCCCCCAACTAAGCTGAAGCTAGCTATCAGCGGGCCTTCTTTACGAGCTTCCCAGAGAAGTCATCCTGCTGGCCAAGCATTTTTATGTGCACTGATTCTCACAGGACAATCCTTCAGGTTTTGTTCTCAGAAGCTGGTTCCAATATACCCATGGGGGCTTAACTCCAGCTTAGTGTGCACAGAATAACTCTCCAATTCTCTCCCTCACTTACAAGAGGACTTTTACTCGACTCTGGAAACTATCTCCCTGGGTGTAGGTAACATGGGTCCTTCCAAGAGTTTTCCCGGCCCCATGCATACGCCTATCTCTACGCATGCATGATTTGCAGCTTTCAGCCATAACCAGTCCCCCCAAGCCACTTACTAGAGACCAAGCCCCACTAAATTTAATGGGACAAACTTCTCAATGAACCCACGACCGAGCCCTGCCGAGTTGCTACCCTGCACAGGCATACATGGGAGACGTCGGGAGTGCAACCCTATATAAGCCGCCTAGGAAGGCCTCAGCAGTTCTAGGAGGGCTATAAATACACGTCCAAGCAAATAAAGCTCGCTTCGCCCAGGTCCGGCGGCAACCAGGCTGACTCACGAGCGAGAAGCTGCGTGCAGGAGGGGAGCCGGAGCCCGCGGGGCGCGCGTGGAAACGCTGCAGGGCTCGGGGCCACTGCTGCACGGGCGCCCGCCGGCCGAAGGCAAGGCCATGGGGCAGCCGTCGCCGATCGGCCGGACTGTCAGTGCCGGCGTCCCCCGCGCGCCGCGGGCAACCCGGGAGCTGCGATCCGGCGCGCCCAGCAAGCGGCAGGCCACGGAAGGCTGTCCCGGAGGATCGTCCCGGAGGGGGCCGCCGCCAAAGCGCGCCCGAGGCTTATTTCGGGCTCCTCCCGCCCGAGCCAGTCCTGCCGGACGCAGCGGGCCGAGCGAACGCGTGCGGCCTCCCGCGGGAGGGCTTCCTCCCGAGCGACCCCGAGGGACACGCGGGGCTCCCTCCCGGGAGGCCCGCCAGCCACGCAGCGCTTCCACGCGGGGCCCGCCTTACTCACGAGGAGTCCCGCGGGAGGCCCGCGCCGCGGGATCGGGGCCGCTCTCCCCAGGCTCTGCCCTCCCCGCGGGCCGGGCGGGCGTCACCGCCGCCCCGTCCTCGCCCGCCGCGCCCGCGGCCACTTCCCGTCCCGTCCGTCCCGTCCCGACCCGTCGCCCCCCTCACCTGGCCCGGCCCGGCCCCTCCGGAGCCCGCGGCGCTCCCAGGCCGCCCCCGGCGCTCGCCCGGCAGCCTCGGCAGGGTCCCGCGCGCCGCCGCCGCCGCCTCAGCCG